ATGCTCTCGGGCATCGACCGAACTTCCACTGAGACTGATTATCGAAAGCTAATCAGTCTCGTCCTAGCTTCAACAAAGAACGTACCAAGGGGCGAACTCCTCGAGATTGTTTGGTATTTGTTTCCGGAATCAGTTAAATTTCTCCTGCCCGGCGCTTACCGATAGTCCGAGTAAACTGAGATTAATATCGATCACAATCACGCACATCTTCGTGGTGATCGCTCCCATTATTTTACAAACTCTAACTCCATAAGGATCCGGCAAACGAGGTGCAAAATAACTCGATCCCGCGCACCTTAAGTGGAGTTCTGTGCAAAGGACACATTTCCAATCAAATAAATCCGTAATATTAAGATTTTGTTTATGTACTAGCGCAAGTGTGAGCCAGATAGTACAAACCTATTGTGAAACGAGCGGACGGATGAGTATGAGTGAGGAATGAGATGATTTGTAAGTACGTACTGAATATGTTGGTTACTTTTGATCTAATCAAACCCTAATATCATTAAATTGATTTCTTCTATTTTTATCTTTATTATTCTGCTCTTCCCGAGGACTGATTAATAAGTGCAGATGTGCCTAGCAGTTTAAAGTATAAGTATCCACTAAATAAAAAGATTATTTTGTGGCTACCAGGTCGAATAGAATCAATTTACAATAATAAACTAATTCTAATTCGCCCGAACCACTACAACTGCATCTAATTGTCCAACAAAACACAAAGCTAATATTTGTTACCATAAAATAAACAATTATAATTATGGAACTAAATAAAAAAACATAAAATCCGAGAGAAGAAATAAAACACTCTCCTCTGTTTCCCTGCTACAATTCAACGGTCTGAATAAACTGACGGCAACATCTCAACGCCAAATTCGGCCTATTAGCTTGGCTCGAACTGCTGCCAACTTAGTGACTTCAGCGTAACCGAAAGATAATAGAAATCGAGAAAATGTTGAAGTGAGTGCTTGCCATGGGCGTATTTTTGCCAATATTGATCGAAAAAAGGGAAAACTTATATCAATGAGAAGTTTGAAGGCGATTTGTATAATGTAACTGTGCACAGATTTCATGTAGCTTGTGACGTCGGTATTTTACGGATTGAATACGATTAGGAGGTAGTGGAAGGAGTAGTTGCCTCGTGTATAGATACACTGTAGCTCTCCGCCTTATTTGTTGGATAGAGACGAAACTTTTACTCGGCCGATACACTCCCGCGTATTTCGATTAAATAAATAGTGTCCAGTTGTTATTATCAAAGAAAATAATAAATGATTGAAAATAATCGAGTTAAGAAACTCAAGTTGTCAGAGTCGGAAGGAGTCAAAAGTTTTGTTCAGAAATTTTGTTCACATAAAAGTGTCAACGTAATTCAATGACTCGAAGCAATAAGTCATTACACTGAGAGAAATATTCAATAAAAATTACGTGTATTTTCCGTAATTCTGGAGCGAAATGTGGTTGTCGGAAATTTTATGGAACTGTCACGTAATTTTCATCTGAAGTCACGGAATTTTTCCACGGTGTTCCGTAATTTTTATCTGAATTATCGGTGAAAAATGACGATACCGTCACTTAAATTTTTCGAATCAACTCCGTAATCGGTAAGTGAACTGAAAGTTCCGTCATTTTTACTAAATATTTCTCTCCGTGTAATCGATAAGTCTACATGACGTCAAATACTTAAAATTAAGCAGAATAAATACGCAGCAGCATAGATACGAAACCTGAGACATATTCTCCTGAGGCCGCGAGAAGTTGAAACTGAATAAATTGAAATAAATCCAATGGCGAGATTGCGACAATTTGTGACGATGCTGATTATTATAACAGAAAGTCGCGAAACTAACCAACAAAATCGAAAATTCTGTCAAACAAATCTTGGCACAATTATTTAGATTTAAATACAATTCATGAGAAATTATCCTAAAAAAGAGAGAGAGCAAACCAAATTCACTAATTATAGTGGTCAGAGATTCTCTAATGGAAAATAGTGACAGAGTCCTGCAGACCGCGGATGTACGTAACATCAATTAATTAAACAATAATCTCTGCCCACTAACGACTAATATAATAAAAATTGTGTCACGACGCTCACCCAGAACCCCTAATTCTCTTCCAGTAGTTAAGTTATTCCAGACCACGAGTATGGCGTCCTTTAAAATTAGATAGCGTCCCTTGACAAACTTCGGAGCATCGGTCTGCTTCACAAGCCCACCAGACGGGAAGTGCCGATCGAAAACACGTTAACGTGGAGCAACAGGTAGCGAACGCGGCAAAAATTATGATTGGTGATGACAACATTATCATTCGCCAATCCCAAACAGTCAGACATGCGCAACCGGTACAAATAATTATTCACGCATGGGCTATCAAATTCGACGATGCTTTACATTAATTTCTCTGTTTATAAAAAATGAGAATAAATTCTTGGCGCTGACTGAAATAATCCAAATTATTTCCCGCATTCAGAACTACCCTGAGAGAATAGTAACTCTCCTTAAATTGGTTCATCCCTATTTTTCCTGTAATTGCCAGTTAGCCTCACGTTCAGCAAACTGCGTCACTTCCGTGCTAATCGCTGACTGAATTGTGGCTTCATCGTCGGCCACATCAAAAATATGGTAATTGTCAAAAATGTAACGCAATCTGACGACATCTTTCAGCTTCGTCGACATCTTCAATTATGCCCAGGAGGAGGGCAGTTGCGCGTAATTTTATGAAAAAATAATAGGATAAAAATAGAATTAAAATATCATTCTCTCTTCTCCATAGATGCTCGCCATTGGAAGTTACCTCCCGTCTGGTGGAAGACCTCTAAAAAACAGCAAAATCCGCCCCATCTAAGCACTGTGTCCAGTAGTCTAGAGGAGATCCGGTAGGGCGTCTTCGGGACTCTACGGGTTTGCCCTTCGAGCCAACATACTGACAGTATGGACTAGGCGGTTGACGACGGAAGAGTGCAGAATGGCGGAAATGCGCATTGCACTTATCGAACTCTGAAGCGAATGCCTAAACCACTTAATGCCAGGCGGTATATATATAAGAAATCAATGAGTAAGTAATAAGAATATATATTAGATATTTAATTTGAATTCAGATGAATACATAGTATGTATATCATATAGAAAATATATATGATATTGATAGACCGACGGTAGTGGCCGTGCGGTTAGAGTGCTGGACTAGCATGCCAAGGATCCGGGTTCGATCCCGGGCACCGGCGGTCAAAAATATATAGCGCTCTGATCTCACGGTTTCACTGCCGAGCGGTAGTCCTGTCAAAAGGACGACTGTACCAGGGCAGGTTTTTCCCTCAGATGAGGTTTTCCCTCCCTTTCAGCAAATGCGGTACAGGGGGTTGGGGGGTGGGAAGGGAACAAATCGTAAAAACCCGAAAGGGTATACGAGTGAAAGAAAAATGTTTAAATATATGATATTGATAGTATATCTTATAAATTCAGTGGAAAAATTGAAGATTCTACAAAATTTTTTTTCTCATGCGGAAACATGCCATGTCTTTTTGCTTCCGAAGGGAAGCATTGCAATCATCCGATCCCGAGCGAAAAAAAAAATCTAATTTTGCTTGGAAACGATGTAGAATGGTCTGAAATGTAAAAATACAAAAGTTTTTGAGAATGTCTGTGCGTGGTGCCCCCTGGCCAGGGGTGATTTTTTAGTTAAGAAAAGATAAAGGTGGGTAAAAAATTTCCAAAAAATTTGAAATTTCGTCAAAAAGTAGATAAGAGTTGAGGCTAACTATGGAATGAAAATTCTGCTAGATCGGTCAGGCCGTTTTTGAGAAATCGAGATTTGTTTATAAATCGTTTTTTCGAAATAGCTCCAAAACTAATGAAGGTATTCAGTTTTTTTTTATTTCATTCTCTTCACCATGATTGGCTCTATTGGAATCGTTAAAAAATTTGAAAATGAACTCTGGAAAAAATCATAGTTATTGTTACTTTTATGTTTTTGAAAAAAAAATGTTGTACGCACTCTGTTTAATATGAGACCTGGATCGGTGGAGATTGAGAGCGGATGGATGAGTTGAGGGCGGATTATCGGGAAGCGTGGAGCGGGTCAACAAAGAGTTCAATGCACTTATTAATTTTTGTCACCAAAGTCAAATTTATTATTAAAACACTGAGCTGGTCACTAATAATTCGATAGATTACAATGAGCTGTTCACAATGGTTTTTGTCACCGAGCAGTTCCGAGAAATGGTAAATCGAGCGGGTCAAGAGAGAAGAAAAACGCGTGTACACTGGTAAACGGTCGAGACAATTACTTTTTGTCACCAAAGTCAAATTTATTATTAAAACACTGAGCTGGTCACTAATAATTCGATAGATTACAATGAGCTGTTCACAATGGTTTTTGTCACCGAGCAGTTCCGAGAAATGGTAAATCGAGCGGGTCAAGAGAGAAGAAAAACGCGTGTACACTGGTAAACGGTCGAGACAATAATGAGAGCGATTATCCTGCCACAACGTGGCAGGTACTACATTTTGGGCGGTCACATGACCTAATTGCTTTATCTATTTAGGATAAAACTGAGCTGTTCAGGAAGTGGCGCCTTAAGTGTCAGAAGTCGTGACCCTTGGCTCGTGAGTTGGCGTTGAGTGTGTGTGGGGAGAGCGTTGCGTGAGCTGTGCGTGTGTGAGTGAAGGAATGCCTGTCAGCTGACAGGATTTCCAACATTCTCCCCGACCATCAGCAACTGTCGTTGCTGATTAGATGTCCTTGTTGAGCTGAAACAGAAAGGAAACATCAAAACGTTCTTGGTGAGGTTACTGAGTTTGTCACCCATGAGCGGATCCATGAGAAGGTCCAAAAGGCTTGCTGGCTAGGCATGGCAGCATCCTAGACGTCAGGGGTCGTAAATCCCTTCGGCTTTGGCTGCTGTCATTCTCACGTTGAACCCCATCGGTTGGTCAGGGTCGTAAATCCGTCGAGGTTGACGAAGTCCAACAGTGAGGAGCCGTTGAGCTGTCCTGGTTCTATCTCCCTGAAGGTGAGATGGGCAAGAGGACGAGCTTGGCGATTGGTCTCGTCAGCGTCGTCTGAGCTGTCTTGATAGTGACTACCCTGGTGAGTCCATCCTTTCCTGGGTGTAGGGCAGTCACTCTGGCGAGAGGCCACTTAGTTGGTGGGAATCTCTCATCCGTCAGCAGAACCAGTGAGCCGATCTGAAGTTGATGAGTCGGATGGTGCCACTTGGATATCGCTTGAAGACGTTGGAGATATCCTGTGGACCACCTCTTCCAGAATCCTTGCAGTTTCTGTTGAATGAGCTGCCATCTAGAGAGTCTCGTGACGTTGAGTTGCTCTAACGATGGCTCTGGAAGAGTCGTGGGAGCTTGACCGATGAGAAAATGTCCAGGTGTCAAGGCTGAGCAGTCATCAGGATCATCTGTGAGCGGTTCCAGTGGTCGTGAGTTGAGCACTGCCTCGATTTGAGCGAGCAAGGTGGTGAGTTCCTCAAAAGTGAGCAATTCCTGTCCGATAGTCCGGGTGAGATGGAACTTCACCGACTTCACCGCTGCTTCCCATTTCCCTCCAAAGTGCGGAGCGCCTGGCGGGTTAAATGACCACTGAGTCCCATCGTTGATGAGAAGCTGGGCGAGCTGTCTGGATTGAGCTGATCCTGAGGAGAAGAGCTGCTTGAGTTCCTTGTCAGCGCCAAGGAAATTGGTTCCACAATCACTGTACAAGGAATGAGCGATACCACGCCGACTTGAAAAGCGTCTATACGCTGCGATGAACCCTTCGGCTGAGTAGTCTGACACGACCTCGAGATGGACCGCTGAGGTGGTCATGCAGACAAAGATGGCCAACCAGCCCCGGTAAGACTTGTGTCCTCGCCCTTTCCAGGACCGTAGAGCCACTGGGCCGGCATAGTCGATCCCAGTGTTGAGGAAGGCTCGAGTGGGAGTGAGTCTGGCTGGAGGCAACTGGCCCATGAGCTGTTGGGCTCGTACTCCACGTTGGCGAGTGCATTTAACGCATTTTAGTATGAAGGAGCGTACTGGAGCCCGGCCTCCGAGTATCCAGTAGCTGCTTCGGAGCTGCCGCAAGGTGAGCTGTGTTCCCCCGTGGAGTGTCCTGAGGTGAGCTTGTTCAATGAGTAGTTGGGCCAGTTGAGATTCCTTCGGAATGATGGCTTGATTTCGGCTCTCTGGGCTAATCTGAGCAAACCTGAGCCGTCCGCCTACCTTCAGTACCCCTGAGTGATCAATGAAGGGTGTGAGTTTGGTGAGCGGGTGAGATTTACTGAACCTCTCCCCTCGTGAGATCGCTTTAAGTTGGTCCTTGAAATGAGCTGCCTGAGTGAGTTTGATCCAGAGGATCCTAGCCTCTTCCAGATCACCAAGTGTGAGCGGGTACTGAAGTGATGAATGCGGGATTCTCTTAAGTCGAGCGATGAATCTTCGACAGATTGCTGTGACCCTGAGCAGTCGGTTGAGCGATGAGAATCTGTCGATGAGATCCCAGAGAGCGAGTGGTTGAGTCTTGACATGCAAGAGAACTCCTGGCTTTTCCTCGAGGTCTACGCTAAGGTCCTTTTCCAAAGCGTGCGTCGGCCATGATGAGCTGTCCTGTTGAAGCCATGATGGCCCTGTCCACCACAGCTTGTGAGCGACCAGCTGATGCGCAGATAGACCTCGAGATGCACAATCTGCAGGATTCTCCTTGCCTGGTACCAATCTCCAGTGAGCCTTCTGAGTGAGGTCCTGAATGAGTGATACCCTGTTCTTCACGAACTCCTTCCACCTTGATGGGTGAGAGCTGATCCAGGTGAGCGTGACCGATGAGTCCGTCCAAAGATAAGTTGTGGCGTTCGTGAGGTTGAGTTGGTCCCTGACGTACTTGGTCAGTTTGGCGAGAAGAAGAGCTGCAGTGAGTTCTAACCGTGGGATTGTCAGTCGTTTGAGCGGTGCGACCTTCGTTTTTGAGCAGACTAGTGTGAGTTGCGGTTTCCCGTTGTTGAAAGCCTTGAGATATACCACGGCCGACATCGCCACTTGAGAGGCGTCGGAAAATCCGTGTATTTCCACGACGGAATCTTTGAGCAGTCCAAGCCATCTTGGAATGGTGACCTCCGACAACTGTGAGAGTTCAGCCCGAAATTGGCGCCAGTGGTGAGCAGTTGCCGGGGAAACCGGATCATCCCATCCGAGTTTCTCTATCCATAGCGATTGAAGTAAGATCTTGGCTCGGACTACCACTGGGGCGAGAAACCCGAGTGGATCGAAGAGCTGAGCTGTTTCCGAGAGCATGATTCGCTTCGTTATCGAGCTGGTTTCTGGCTGAGCTGACGAGAACTTGAAATGATCCGTTCCTGGATGCCATGAAACCCCCAAGATCTTGGTGAGTGAGTCCTCAATGACGCGAGTATCAGTGGAAGTGCTGTCAGGTGAAAGTGAGCGTAGCAGAGCTGAGCTGTTCGTGTGCCATTTTGCAAGTGGTAAACACCCTGCGGCACAGAGCTGTGTCACCTGCTGAGCTGTCTTGAGCAGATCTTGATCAGAATCAGCACCTCCACAGATGTCATCCACGTACCGTCCTTTCGTGAGCGGATCCACTGCAAGAGGGTAGCGTTGCCCCTCGTCCTTTACGAGCTGGAGCATTACGCGTGCCGAGAGGAATGGAGCTGACCTGGTACCGTACGTGACGGTAGTGAGTTGGTACGGGATGATGTCGCCCTGTGAGTTGGTCCAAAGTATTTGTTGGAGCGGCCAGTCGTCCGGATGTACTCTGATCTGACGGAACATCTTGGTGATGTCCGTCATGAAGATGAGCCTGAATCTGCGAGTATACAAAAGAACATCCGAGATGTCCTTTTGGAGTTTGGCACCAGTATGAGTGATGTCGTTGAGTGATTTCCCTGAGCTGGTCTTGTTGGAGCCGTTGAAGACGACCCTGAGCTTTGTCGTCTCGCTGCTTCCCCTAAAAACCCCGTGATGAGGGAAGAAATACGAGTGAGAGGTGTGAGCTTGAGTCGAGTGCCGACTGCTCGGGACCCTCAACCCTCCTGAAACCGAGGTTTCATGTGCTAAGGTCATCCCGAGCGCCGAACACCCTCCTGTGAGCCGTACCTTTGCTGACGATGTGAGCTGAGCTTGAGCTGGACGCATGTGGTCCAGGTCCTCGTATTCCTTGAGGAATGCTGAATAGAGCTGACTGTACTTCTCATCACGGGCGAGCTTTCTGAGCAGACGATTCAGGCAGGCGAGAGCGGATGACTTTGAGTCCCCGAGCTGATCTACTGGTGCCTTGAGCGGTATCCGGACTGTGTAGCGTCCTGATTTGTCACGATAATGAGTTCTTTTGAAGTGCTCTTCGCATTGAGCCTCTTCATTTGTGAGCTGTACTTCTGGAGTATCAGGAATTTCCTCCTGGACCCAGAATTTGGTGAGCAGGTCGTTGAGGTCGTCGTTAGAGACCGCTGCGTGAGCTGTCACGGCGTGAGCTGAACTGGGGCCTTCCGTGGGCCCGAAAACAATCCAACCGAATTGCGTACGCTGAGCTGAAGGTGAGTGCGGTCCATTGGTGATGACTCGCGGTAAAATGAGCTGTCCGTAGACATCAGCGCCGAGAAGGATGTCAATTGGTGCTGGTGTGAGAAAATCAGGATCAGCCAGCTGGAGTTCCTCCAGGTGGTCCCATGTGAGCTGACTACATGTGAATGTCGGTAATGAGGTGGTGAGCTGGTCGAGAGCATAGACAGAGACCCTGAGTTGAAAGTTAGAGTGAGTGGACTGTATGGTGAGTTGAACCTTGCCTAATGCTGGCCCAGATGTTGCGTCTCCAATTCCCGAGATTCGCAGCTGAGTCTTAAGTCTTAAGAGCCCAAGCTGACGAACGAGTTGATCTGAGATGATTGAGATTTCCGATCCGGGATCAATGAGTAGGCGAACCTGATGAGCTGGACGACCTGGACCTACCAGAAACCCAAGGCTGGTAGCCAGGAGAACACCAGGACGGAAGTCTTGCGCTGGGCTTGGAGCTGGCTGACGAGCTGAGCAGGAGACGGTAGTCTGAGCAAATGAGCTTCAAACCTGGTCTGCCCATGACGTGCCGGGGTTGGCTGGAGTGGATGGAGGTGGAGCTGGACCTGCAGGCTCAGCCTTGACCTCAGTCCTGTCCCCATGTTGAATGTAGGTCACTACAGGGACAGGTTTAAGCTGGGTTGAGCTGTTCTGTGGCTTTTGTTGAGCGGGGCGTTGTGGTTGGCTCGATGGCTGGCTGTGCAGCATCGAGTGGTGGAGCTTCCCACAGTATTGGCAGGTAAGCTTTGACCTGCAGTCCTTGACAGAGTGTCGTCCCAGGCAGTTGTAGCAGAGGTAGTGCTTCTCGACGACCTCCCTACGTGCTGGTATGGTGAGCTGACGAAACCATGGGCAGGATGTGAGGTAATGATCCGCCTCACACATGGAGCACGGATACGTGACCTTCCCAGTTGGAGCAGACCTTTGGGCTGGTCTAGACCTCTGCGTTGGTTGAGTGGTGCCGTGGTGAACCTTCGCAGAGGCCCCCTGCTTGGATGAGCTGGCCGTGGATTGCTTAGAGGCAGCAGCACGAGAAGTCGAGTTGATCTCGATACTCTCCATAGCACGTGCTCTCCCAGTGAGGAATTCCTTGAAGTCATTGAAGGATGGGTACTCCGAGGATGAGCCGACCTTGACTTCCCAGGCTTCACGAAGCTTTAGACTGAGCCTTTGTGAGACCGTGTGAACGAGGATTTGATCCCAGTGAGCTGTCGGAGACCCAAGAGCTTCCAAGGCATTTAGAGCTTCGCTGACGGTGGTGAGAAGAGCATTCAGTTCCTTGGCACTGTGAGCTGTCATTGCTGGGGGACTGAGGAGCTGCTCCAAATGAGCTGAAATGAGCAGTCGTTCATTCTCATACCGAGATAGGAGCAGGTCCCAGGCGATCGAAAACGATTCATCCGAAATCGTGAGATTCGCAATGCGTTGAGCTGGCTCCCCAGAGAGGCTAGTGCGAAGATAATGCATCTTCTCGACATTGGACAAATCCGAGTTTGAGCCGACCAGAGATGCGAAGAGATCGCGAAATGAGCGCCATTCGGCGTAAGCTCCTCCGAATTTAGGCAAGGAAATTTCCGGGAGATATCGCTTGGAGTACGTGGGCTGAGCTGTTCCGAGTGCAAGAGAGCGGCGAGATGATCCTGAGATTCCTCGTTGGTCGATGAGCTGGTTCAAGGTTCCTCGAGCCTCGTGATAGTGCACGATGGTCTGGTCGAAACATCTGTCCTTGAGGTACGGCATCTCAAGAACTGATTCGATTTTGCCACTGCTGGCGATGAGCTTCTCGTGGGTGCTCTCAAACTTTTCCCAATAGGTCTCCAGGATTTCAAGTTTGCTCTGGAGATTCGAGATCGTGAGGCTTTTCGCCTCTTCGGTGAGCAGTTCCTTATAGATGCGTTCAATGAACGCCGCCCGTGATTGGTTCAGGCTGATGGTAGCCTCAAATGATGCCATGTTGAGGAAAAATGATCAGCTCGAGAATTAACCCCAAGAAAAACCTGAGTGAGGCGTTCCCAAAAAAAACCCAAGCAGTGAGTAATGATGAGCGAAAAACTGAGTGCTTTATGGTTCGAGCGGTTCCCCAAAAAAAGAAACGTAATTGACACACAAAAACCCAAAAAAAATGCAGAGAGCGGTCCGAAGCGAGCTGTCAAAATGCCTCAGTTGTCGAGCTGTCCAAAAGAAGAGTGCAACCGCAAAAAAAATCCAGGAAAAATTCGTATGGCCGAAAAGACAGAAAAAATAGCAACAAAAGGAGAAATAGTAATTTATTGCTACTCAGCCAATTGTTAAGGGTTGAGCTGGTCCGATTATCTTGACGTCCTGAGCGGTTCTGCAAGGCGAGTAGAACAACCCTGATGAATGAGCGGGGCCCTCGGTTTTCTAGGGTGGTCCTGATGAGGTGAGCTGGGCACTGGCTGACGTCTGTACGCCCCTGGCGGGTGAGCAGCTATCGTGGTGACGCGATGGCACTGTACTGAACAACCACACTATCGCGCAATTCACTCTTATGACACGCGAACCCGATGAAAGCCGGAGGAATCAAAAAATATCCCACCAATCCGGCTCGAAGGACCAAAATGTTTAATATGAGACCTGGATCGGTGGAGATTGAGAGCGGATGGATGAGTTGAGGGCGGATTATCGGGAAGCGTGGAGCGGGTCAACAAAGAGTT